TCCGCAACAGTCCCCCCCTAAGAAAATTGGTCTTTTGTGTGCTTTTACCCTATACTACACAGATTTCACAGGGGAGGCCAGCGTTTCTCAAATTGGGGGCCCTGACCCAAAAGGGAGTTACAGGGGGGTCACAAGGTTATTTTACGGGGGTCGGGGTATTACTACACATACTTCAATGCCTTCAGAGCTTGGCAGCCGAAGAGAGGCGGCTGTTGGCCAGGCGCCCAGCTCTGAAGGCAGCGCCCCCACCAGCAGCAGCGCAGAAGTAAGCGTGGCAGTACTGCAACCCCCCCTGAAATAACCTTGCGACAGCCCCACAACTCCTTTTTGGGTCAGGACCCCTGCAATTACAACACCGTGAAATTTCAGATTTAGATAGCTGAAATCATGAAATTTACGATTTAAAAAACGACTGTGAAATTGACCAAAATGGACATTGAATTTGGTAGGGTCCTAGCTATAATACTCCCTAGCTCTTCTATAGCCCTTTGCATCAGCAGATTTCAAAGGGCTTTACCAAGAAGGTCAGTATCATTATGGGGAAACTGAGTCACAGAGGGGGAAAGTGACTTGCCCAAGGTCGCCCAGTAGACCAGTGGCAAAGCCGAGAACATCCCCCAGGTCTCCTGACTCACAGTCCAGTGCTCTATGCACTGTCTCCCATTCCACACTATGGTGCAGTGCCATTCACACATCACACATCAATGTGTCACACTGTGGCACATCCACATATCGTCACTGCCTGCCTGGCGATACCGACAGCTCCAGGTGCTCAGATACTACACTGATAAGGGTCGTGGAAGAAATAGCTAGCTAGTAGAAGATGTGTATGGGGATCGGTAGATAGGGAGATAGATGACAGGCCATTGGGGAGCACAGGGTTAAATCCATCCCAGGCCCAGCTCCCCAGGCTGTTCCCAGAACTCCTTGCAAGCAGGAATCCTGTTCAGTTTCTTCTTTCTTCTCAGGACAGTGATGGAAGGAGGAGTTTGCCACGAACACCGGGACAGGGAACAAGCAGTTCCCACTAAAGCCAATGGGAGCTGCAAGTGCTCGGCACCATTCAGGGTTGGCCCCGTTGTTTGTACCATGTAACATTTTCAGTGATGGTCACAGGTTGATCCCAAACTGGCCTGTGATGTCCACCTGGAACAGATCCTGACGGCACCCCATCACTGGCAGGACAACTGCTCCTCTTCCATCCTTTCCCATGGGACCGGCTCCACACAGCCTGCCCCAATCGTGCCAGTCTGTGGCTATGTGCTCAAGGGGGCAGGTTTTCTCCAGATCATTTGCTTGCCATGCTGGCCTGACCTCTAGCTTTCCATCACTCTCCTGGGTGTAGATTGTCCCAAACCTTCCGAGAGTGCAGCTTACCCATGTAACAGGGCACGCTGGCATGCGAGGGAGTGCCCCTGCGGTATGTGCTCCTGGCACCCCCAGCCCTGTGCTGTGTGACAGCTCCATTCGTTTGAAAAGAGACGAAGGAGGCTGCAAAGTCTTAGGGGAAAGGAGGTGGATGAGATCCAAGACAACCTATCAAGGCACCAGCCGGTCCGTGCCTGGTGATAGGAGGGGAATGAAACGGGCTACAATGCTGTAGAAATTAAACTGGCGTGGGTCTCCTTATCCCACCAGAGAAAGTAGAGAACACATCAATGCTGTAGCCTGCAACTGGCAGCCAGTGATAAGGTAATCCCGGATCCCACCACAATGACTTGATGCACACAGGCCATAGGGGAGCACGGGTTAAACCAGCATCAACAGCTCATAACAGCCCGGATTCTGGCACTGCTACGTCCAGCTCAGTGTCGCAGTGACTTGGCACCAGATGGGAGTTCCCCTTTGTTCGTGGCTTTCCAGCCTGGGGTTCGCTGCCATCCCCTTCTCCTCCCCCCGGTTCTTCCTAGAGCTGCTTGACAGTTTGCATTCATCATTTTTTTGCTGCTGACAAAAAATTGGGCCTTTTTTTATAGCAAAATGTTTGGTGGGAAATTTTTGTGTCTCAGGAAATTTTCAGCTTTTTCAGCAGAAGTGAGAACAATGGAGCGCTTGTTGCTTGTTTGCTTTTTGGTTGATAAACTGATTTCCCCCGACCCCCCGAAAAATTACAACAAAAACCCCTCCCCAAATGTTTTGTTTCGTCCTCAGATTTTCACAGAAAATATTCATAATTTCCTAACTGGTTCCAGTTGTTTCTGTATTGGAGAGAGTGTTGTCTCGTCGTTAGAGTGGGAGGTGAGGGGCGGGTGCTGGCAGTCAGGACATTGACTCAGTGGGTGACTGTGAACAAATCACCCACTCCCTCTTTGTGCCTCAGTTTCCCCCTCTGCGACACGGGGATAACCACACTTCCCTAACCGCAGGGAGCACTTTGAGCAGGAAGGTGCTGGAAGGGCAGGTGCTTTGTGTCCTTCTTAGAGATGCAAATAAATAAGGAACACAAAGGCCCGTTCCAGGACGAGAGCAGTTACTCTCTCTCCACAGCACAAGGCTAACACAGAGGGGTGTGTTGCAGCTTTGAGAGCCCCGGGGCATAGCAAGGGCGGTGACGGAGGAGAGGTGTTAGGCCTGCCTACGGGCGTGTACTCATCAAGAGCATTGGCTGGGGGGCCTGCCAGGCCCCACCTGCCCAGCCTGCCCCTTTGAGGTGGGCAATGCGCACGGCGGCCCCAGATGAGCCCTGCGTGGTGCCATGCGGGCGCAAGCCAAGGATGCCTGGCTGGCTTCTGCAGGAGAATGTTGGGGCAGGGATGGGGGGAAGATGCTCCCTGCCCTTCCCCTCCCTATGGCATCCTGCCCTGGGGCAGCTGTAACAGGGCCCATACGCTGCCCGGTGGCACAGGGCACAGAGCCCTCTCGGGGAGTACCCTTTCCAGGTGACATCTCCGTCAGCACGACAGGATCCGGCCCCGAGTCTGCTCACCGCGTCCCAGCCCCTCGCATCACCCCAGCCCCGTCTGCCCCGGCTACTCACTGGTGTTTGGCGTGAAGGAGGGGTGCCGCGTGGCTCCCTGCGTGACGGCTGGCGGCGGAGGAGGCATGTTGGGGGGTGTCGATCTGGACTGAGTCTTCACGTCGGCCGGCGAGTCAGGCATTGTGGCTGCCTTCTTCTTCTCTGCACTACCTGCAAGGGGCAGAGACGCAGAGAGCGAGACACAGGTGAGTGCAGTGGATCGGGGTCGCCGGGCCACATGGCACTGGCTAAACCCAGCCTGCTGATCCTTCCCTCGCCCAGGCGCGGACCTAACGCCCACTGGAGTCAGTGGGCATCTTGCCCTGGTCTGCAATGGCCTTTGGGTCAGGCCTTCACGGGAGGTGGCAGCCACGCAGACCTCTTTGCATTGCAGCCAATCGAAACACACGTGTTTCTCCTCTCACATGGGCAGTTATTCCTGATTCACATCAGCAAGTGGAGGGCATGGCCCCGTGCCCCGTCATGCACATGGCTATGCCACTGGGAAGGCATCACCTGGGACTGAAACGGGCCCCCACTCATGTGCCCATTTCAGGGTCGTCCCCCCTGTCCGAGGGCCCTTCTCCCATGGTGAGAACCGACCCGTTTGTCCCGGGGAACCTCCACGTTTCCAAAACGCCAAACTGGGAACATTCCTTCCAGCAACAATGCATTTGTCCCAAAACACCGAGAACTTCACAAACGTTCTGGGCTGTGAAACGGCCAACATTCCTTGGTTCAGGACTATGGCATAGGAGAGGAGCTTTACGAGATCCCACAACCCCAAAAGCTGGCGTTTCGGGGCTGGGATGGGAGCACGTTTGCTCCTAACTCTGCCTGGGTCACCCCACCCCTCATTCCTGAGCAGGGCAAGACTCAGATCACTGAGGGGGCAAGGAGCATGGCTCTCAGGGGCGTCCCTTCCTGTTCATTGCAGCGGGGACCCAGTGGATGCAGAGCGGGAGGAGAAGTCTACCCTTCCTGCCCCAGACGGAAAGTGCAATTTCACCCATTGAGCAGTGAACCCTCGGGCTCCTGGGCAGACGCATTATCACCGGGTCCTACGCAGAGTCATGGAGGGCCATGTCCTAGCTATACCCTGGGTCTTGGGGGCTCAGCTTTCTTGTACCTGAGCCCCCGGCCATCCATGAGCTCGGCCTCACAGCAACCAGCGTGGCAGAGGGACGTGTCATTCTCCCCACAGAGAGATGAAGGGTGGAGAGCTCAGAAGGCTGGGGAGAGACAGGCCCCTGGGGAAGCGATTCCCAAAAGCCAGTGCACTAGGTGGGGAGCCGCCTACGCTAGCCAAGGGAAGATGCCAGCCAGGGCTGGTGCACAGCCCCACCGTGCTCTCAGAGGCAGGCACCGAGGTCCAGGCTGCAGGGAGGTGTCGAGCGCCGAGGACGGATCACGCTCATCACTTTTAGCTCAGTGACGAGCGTACTGATCTGGGAAGTGGGAGACCCCCCGGCTCAAGTGCCCCCTCCCCCAAAGGAGGAGAAGGGATTTGCCGCCTGGCAGGCGAGTGCTCTAACCATTGGGCAGTTCTGCTGTGGAGTTCCCTCCATCATCCGGTTTGAAGTTGTTGCGTTGGGGATAAATAACAAGACTCCGTGGAGCAGGGAGACCGGCTCCTGGTCTCCCTCATCCTGGGCGAATGCTCTAACCACCAGGCGACACAGCCACGCTCGGGCTTGTGCGCACTGGCTCGCAAAGGGTCGTTTGGACAAGAGAGCGGGCAAGCGAGCACACCAGCACGAGCATGATTCTGCTGCCTGGTGGTTGGCGCACGTACCAGGATGGGGGGGATGTGGGAGCCAGCCCCTGCCCCAGTGGCTCATTCGTTATTTAGCTGCAGCATAACAGCTTCAAGGGGAGGGGCTGGGGCCCGACATCAGACTGTCCTGTACCCCGGGGTCAGGGCACGAACTCCCCGTTCAAATCCTTTCTCCCCGTTAGGTGGAGGGGGGATTTGAACCGGCTACTCTCCCGCCTCCCAGCTGAGTACCCTAAGAAGCACTGGGCTAAACGTTCCAAGGGCGGCTGTGGTCCTCCTCCCCCGGCCGCCTTGTGCAAGCTCGCCGATGGGAGCCTCTGAGCACGCTGAGCGGATCCGGCTCCTCAGGCGGGTTAGGCCACCGAACGCCTCTGTGGGGAGATGGGCGTCCGGACGGCCCCAGTGCGCATGCCCCGAGGCAGAGCCATTGACACCTCCAGGGTTTCAGCAGGAGTTTCGTGCATCACGGTGATCCCCAAACTGGGGCTTGTGCCTAACTCCGGCAGAGCGTTCAGCCTGAGGGGACGTGCCCCAGGGACCCCGGGGGTCTGGGGTAGACCTGAGAACTGAATCCAGAGCTCCTGAGTCCCCGCGACTGTGCCTTAAATCACAAGGCCGCCCTTTCTCGCCCAGCCAGCCCTCTGCACACCAACATATTGTACAGAGCTCCTCCCGCCCATACGCACAGCACTGTTGGATACACATGTTCATCCAGCCACACAACACTGGATCACATAGCCATCTACCCACCCCGGAAATCCTGTACCATGCACACGTCTTCCCGCATACGTACCAATGCACAGTCCACACGCACCTCTATTAGCACACGCAATATGCCCTGTACACACGCACCCGACAGATCTAGATATGTGTCACGCATGCACAGAGCATGCTGTCATCTTGGCGCTCGTCCCCGAGAACCCATCTCTGCCATGGCACACACCGTCAGAGCAATCTCCCTGCTGGTTACCGGCCAGTTTGGAAGGAATGGGAATTCGCCCCGGGTCGCCGGCTGGAATGCCACGCCATTTCCCAGGAATGATGTGTGGAGTTCCAGGAATCGCGCTGTCAGGCCGGGATTATTCACAGATAGTAAATTGGGCTTTAGATGCCGTGCTGCAGGCAGCAGCTCCCATCCACACAGCAACCAGGGCAGTTCCTCGGGTGCCTTGAGAGCATTCGTTCCCGCGTCATTGACCTCAAGCACTCAAAAATCCCCAGTCAGGCCCCAAAACATCAGGGGATTTAAAAGACCTAATAAATATGAGGTTCCCTTTCTTTGCCTCGTGGTTTCTGAGCCTTTAGGGGTCACTCAGGACACGTTTTCTGGCTTTTCTCCAAAACCAGGAGAGGGGAAATGCACCTTTTTTTAATAAGAGCCGAGATGGTGGCATTATCCCAGGATGAGCCTAGCTGGGGCTTTAAGAAAACAACATGACTCACGATCGTCACAATAACACCGCGAGAACCGGCCACACTGCCTGAAGCCCGACGCCTTCACTGCGATTAAACCCTTCTCCGGATCATTGGGAATAAAATTCCCTGTCCCTCCCACCTCTCGCTTGTCCAACAAAGCCACAATGACAGAGCTGGTGGAAAGTTTTCCAGCACCACGGGTTTCCATCCTCAGAAAATGCCACGGCCTGGAAATCAAAACGTTGTCAATTTTGATGAAATTTCGTCACAGAAACAAAAAACAAGCGGACCGAAGCATTGGCCCATTTGACGTCTCTAATGCTGAGCAACACAGCATTGGTTTTTAACAAAACAGAGCATTGCCGTGGTTAGTTTTAAAATCACTTTGCGTTTTGCGATTTGTTTTGTTATATTTGATGTTATACTAGAAGTTGTGATAGACAATTAAAAAAAAAGTTGAAAGTTGATCAGCTCAAAGTGAACTGTCCCTGTTTTAAATATCTAATGCTGAGAAGGGCAGTGGGGGATCAGGGGTCAGGTGCATTTGACAAATTCCAACCACCAGTGCGCCCCCACCCAGCTGCCTAAAACTAGCTGTGTCTGAAGGTCAGAGATAACCTGTAGCTGGGGAGTGATTACAGAATTCCTTGTCCCCGGGATCCCTGCGAGCTGTTACCAGGGAATATCGTTGTGATGCGGTGTTCATCCCCCTTCCCCCACAGTAGCCCGTAAAGGGTTAATGACACAGTTGCCAAAGTTCACACGGTAAATAACGCCCCCCCCCCCCCCGACTTTCACAATAAGCCAAAAATCAAGCTAATCCCATTTCAAAACAAGGCCAAAACAAGCCAGTCCCTAAGAACCCCAACACTCTATGTGACTAGATCCCCCCGGCGTGCAGTCTGGGACTGGGGTGGGCCCGCTGTGCACCCCGACTCCCTCCCCCGCTTGCCCCTGCTTGCCGGGAACTGATAAAAAAAAAGCTACAGTACAAGCCAAAAACTAGCCAACAAGCAACTCACAAGCCAATTAAGCCAAAAACAAGCCCAATTTCTGTGTTTTTTTCGCGGGTTTGGCACGTCTGGTTAATGAGGCTCCGAAGGAGCCAATTAACCTGACAGGCAACACCTGAGGGAGAACAAGGCAGGAGGATGGAGCCCAGCTGGACAGGAGCAAGGAGGGCTGGTATAAAGCCAGGAAGTGGCTTAGAAAGGAAAGAAGGAGAAGCCCAGGGGGAGAGCAGAAGCCCTGGGCTCCTGGCCCTCAAGGAGGGGGTGTACCAGCCGGATGGTGGAGAAGGGAGCCTGATAAAGACGGAGTAGGAAGCAGTCCAGGGAAATAGCAGCGAGATTTGGGATGGAGCAGACCCTGGCTGCTGACTGTAGGGTCCCTGAGCTGGACCCCGGAGCAGAGTGGGTCGGGTTCCCCAACCAGCGGTAGAAGGGAAGCTTGCCTGGGACAGATCGTCCAGTGAACTCTGGTACCCTGGAAAACACACAGTGACCCAGCCGGGTGGGGGCAAGCTGTGAAAAGGGATCCCCCTAAGCCAGGAAGAGGGATCATCCCGACGCACTGCAAATCCTGGAGCGTGAGATAGAAGGGGGCATCTGAGCAGGTGGCCCTATTCCCCAGACGCAGCCCCAAGGAGTGAACCCCAGGACAATCCCCTGTGGAGGGCAGTGGGGCAGGGGGCTAAAGCAATGTATGACCAGAGCAGGACTGTTTGGCTCTGCACACCGCATCCCTCAAGCTGTCTTTCTCAGCATCTCGACAGGGCTGCGGTTTTCCTGGGATTCAGCCACGGCCCAGTTCAGAGGAGGCTTTGGAGTGGCAGGGGGACCTGGCTGGGACTGGGGAGGGGGGGCAGGGAAGAGACGAAGCAAGTAAACAGGACAGCCGCGAAACAAGCTTAAGTGAGAGCACCTGCTACTGAGATCAGCTGCTGCCACGTCCATTTCTCTCTCTCTCTCTCTCCGCC